ATGAAACGGATCTGTATAAGATATCCTTAAAATCCAAGATGGATGTTTTTTTAACATCCTATGGATATTCATATGCTGTATGGGAAACAATCAGAGAGTTTGATGATTTTGATAGCAAACTAAGTACCGACATCAGCTTTAGGGAAAAAATTGTAACTTTCTATTTTATTTAAATTTTTATTTTGTTCTTCATGCATTGAACTTTAAATAAAATTCATTATTTGATATTGTCAATGAACCAGTAGAGCCAAAGGTATATGTATTTTTCAGTTTAAACAATTCAAGTAATCACAAAATCCTTGTCTCTTCTACCTTTCTACATACATCATAAACATGGGACAATTTGCGATTGTAATTACTTTTGCTCCCTTTTTGTAGCAATCGCAATATCCCCACTGCTATCGCAATAACCTAGTATAACATAATACGTGTTCTTTGCTTTATGTGTAAATAAATGCCAAAAAAAATAAGTACATTTGAATATATTTTCAGTTACAATACACTAATACTAATGCACTATGTAGTACTATTTGATCATTCTCGTATTATTTAAGGGAGTAGATGTTTTCAAATATCTATCAATATATACAAATATATTATTTGAATTTTAAATATTCATTGAACATAGTTTTTTTACTTTTAATTTAATTTCATGTATTTGACCATGTAGCGATGAGATCCAGAACATTTTTAGCGTCACAGACACCTTTTCTCATTTCTGTATCGAATAGTGTTTGTTTGTGTTACGGATACCATTGGATGTTCTATGGGAAAATCATTTGATTTTAAAGGTAATCCTGGATTCATTAAAGGCTTATGTCCAGCAAATGTAGGTGATAGGCGATCATGTTCTTTTCTTATATTTTCCGTACTTATTAACTGTTTTATCTCATCTCGAGTTTCTTCAGGTACCAAAGCTTCAATTAAATTGGCCACAGGAGGTTGCGGACTCTGATAGTTCCAGAAGACCGCCGAAGGATCTATACATGCTCGGGTTTGCTTCGTGTGCCATTCCTTTGAAATTTTACGCAAGTGGGTTGGAATAGTAGGCAACGTTTTCACTTCTAAATCAGTCCTTCGGTCGAGATAATGTGAGACATCTGGAATAATATTGACAACCGTTGAGGGAAGAGCGGACTCCCGGCAACTTTTTTCCCAGTCTGTTATATATGTAAAATCAACCAAGGTTTGTCTTATTTTAGGGTCTTCTATATCATCCATACTAACAGCAGGACTTACATATCTACGCGGACGCGTTTTAATGGCATTTTCGAGTTCATTTTTTTCTCTTTCCTCAAATTCTTCTTTCTGTTAAATATTGTCTAATTAATATCATGTTATTGAAAGTATATTTTTTTCTACTGATTTTTACTGCTATATGTAGCCTGTAGCAACGAAATTAATAAAGAAGAGAATCGAAACAACACTTGCTCCTGCGGAGCAACATTGACTTTCTAATAAGAATCGATTAATTTGTTTATTGGAAAGTAATTCTAAAAGTAAGTATGATTTGGTAATAGGAAAGTTCGAGACCAAAATCCATTTTTATTAGTTTAAATAAATTTTTAACCATGAACTTGATGTTCTGGATTGCTTAACTGTTTTTATTAGCTGAAGCTTTTATCATTTAAAAGGCTTTTAAGAAATCGTTGTATCTTATGCAGTGTATATAGTGTAAGATTGCTTAGTCAGACCACGGCCTAAGTCGTACCCCAGCAGACAAAAAGTGGTATTACAGGTTTATGAAAGAGAATTCTACTTTGTCGTTACATGTTTCAGAACCCACCTCAATGGCCAGAAGTAAAAGGGTTTAATAAAGAGCCTGTTAATGAATTCCTTGATAAGTACAAAGAAATACTGGATACATATTACAAGTTTGTTGGACACCAAATATATAATATGGACAATACTGTATTATCTACCGTTCACAAACTTTCCAAAGTTATTTCTCAAAAGGAAAAACCAAGTGGGTATAATCACAAGTGGAGAAAGAGGCCTGACCGTAACAGGCATATGCGCGATGAATGGTGTCTTAAAAAAAGAAGCTCTGCCTAACACATCATTTGGTTGCTCGAAAAATGGATTGATAACAAAAGAAATTTTTGTTCAATGGCTTCAAAATTTTATTAAGTGCATAAGATTTGAAAAAGGTGATCAAAAACAAATTTTGCTTTTACTAGGTGGTCATAGCACACATACCACAAATTTAGAAACGATGCACTTGGCTCGCGATCATGGCATAATAATGTTATATTTTTCTGTTATCACGACACATCGCCTACAACCGTTTGACAGACGTCCTTCAAATCGCTGAAAAGTTGTTACAGTTACCCTAGGGCAGTTCGTATAGATACAGCGCTAAATGGTTTTAAAGCAACAGAGTTGTGGCCGTGTGACAGAAATGTTATTAAAGAAGAGGATTTCGTAGCTTTTGTATACATCTCTGATCCATCAAATCAAGAACTCGGCAAAGCAACTACTGAATCACCCGTTAGAGTTACATCGCCATCAATATTAATGCCAACAATAGTCTCATCATCACCACCATAATTACAATGCCACCCTCAGCACCTAGAAATTCAACACTGCCTATCATTCAACCTAGATATTCCACAATATCACAAGATACTTTACACGGCGACAATATATTAATAGTTGATAAAATTACCAATATTTCAAAAGTAAACTATGTGAGGAAGGCTGTAATGAAAACATGATCCAGTGTATAAAATGTAAAAGTACATGACCAATGTGTTGGTAGGTATTGGAAGTAAAATAAAGAAATATATTTGTAATGTGTGTGTTCAGTTTCAATATTTTTTTAAGCCTTACTTTGGTTTTTAAGAAATTACAATTTTATTTTCTGTGTTATTTACTTACTAATAAGGTTTTACTTAATAACCGATAATCAAATAAAAATATTTAAGTTTAAAAGGGCTAATAACCAATGGTGGTATTTGCCATACCCTGGTTATTATTTTTTAATTTTAAGTCTTATATAATATAAGAAGTGAGGCACAGGTCACCGAAGAGAGACTTCCAAGAGACCTACGACCGATTCACTTGTACAGTTAATTATTAATCATTCGTTTAAGTGTGGAAATACTCTGCACACAGTTTGTTTGTAAATATATTTCTAGCTATTCTGCTTCGCTACAAGACTGCCAATTATTCTACCTTCCACCCCAATTTAATCACCAGTCCTTATCAATTTAATGCGTGTGCACGTATTTCCCTTATAGAAAGTTTTAAAATATCTGCCTGAGTACATTTAACATGGTCCTTTAAGCNAAGTTTAAAAGGGCTAATAACCAATGGTGGTATTTGCCATACCCTGGTTATTATTTTTTAATTTTAAGTCTTATATAATATAAGAAGTGAGGCACAGGTCACCGAAGAGAGACTTCCAAGAGACCTACGACCAATTCACTTGTATAATTAATTATTAATCATTCGTTTAAGTGTGGAGATACTCTATACATAGGTTGTTTGTAAATATATTTCTAGCTATTCTGCTTCGCTATAAGACTGCCAATTATTCTACCTTCCACCCCAATTTAATCACCAGTCCTTATCAATTTAATGTGTGTGCAGTTATTTCCCTTATAGAAAGTTTTAGAATATCTGCCTGAGTACATTTAACATGGTCCTTTAAGCCGGATAACCAGAAAAATGTGCAAGTTCACAAGTTCAAAGTTACCATAAGTTTATTAAGTTGTGTTTAAACTAGTGTGATGTTCACATGTGGAACTTAACCATAAGTTTCTAAACGTTTGTGAGTCATTGTGGTGATTAATCACATATACGTTCCAAGCATCATGGTGAAACTACATCTGACCGATCCCACATTCTGTAAAGTGTAAGCATCAAGGGACCCCGGGATCTGGAGGAGAGGAAATTGCCCTGAGGGAAGAAATCGTAGTGTGGTTGAGTTCTGGAGGTGAGGTCATTTCATCCCTAGGGTAAGACGCGGAATCAGTATCTTCTATATTTCCTCGCCCAAACTATTTTAGTGGTTTTATGTGTCAGTGTACTTGTAGCATGTTGTCATTACCGAGATTAGAATTAAGGGCAGCAACTAGGAGCCTTAATCGTATCGAACGTATGTTTTTGAAGAACGTTATTTTGTTTTATTTCAATTGCACTGAATATTTATTAGTATTATTTCCTTAGGCAGTATGACTTAAGCAACCTTACCCTACTTTATAAATATTATTTTTGTACTTTGCGGTCAGGGGCATGTACATAATCTAGCTAAGCTACGAGTACACGTAACCGTTTAAAGCCATTACAGTAGGATTCGTGGAGGTAGTTAAACCAACCATACATAATACAGAAAATTGGAGTAAAATCGATACCTGTTAGAATAGCCTGTTTGAAAGATTTTGAGTAAACGATCTGCAAAGGCACAAAATTGAAAGTATTTGAACCAGTAGATGAAATTTAGCACAGTGATTGGGAAGAAACTGAACATCCATATCTGCATCTTTGACCGAATTGGTGTAATGGTTCAATAACCACCTCAACAGATCAGACTTAGGTAGGACCAACTTAACATACCATCTCATCAACATCGGAACAATAAGGCTCATCAAATAACCACCTAGAAGTGTTCCCAGGACGAAGCAAAATAAAACCGACAACTTTATAAAAGACATGCTTAAATAAGGGGTGATCGAACCATCTCAAAGTTCCTGAGCTTCCCCTATAGTGCTAATACACAAGAAAGATGATTCCGAGAGGTTCTGTGTGAATTACACGTAGCTGAAAGGTGTACTGCAGAAAGACTGTTAGTCATTACCACGAATCAACAAAACACTAGACAGTCTAGCTGGAGCTAGGGAGAACACTGTTTTTACAATTTGAAATGGTATGTAGCAATTCAATGTGATGCCTTTTGGATTGTGCACATTCGAAAGATTGATGGACACTGTACTATAAGGACTAAATTGGAAAATTTGTTTGGTTTTCTTAGTCGACATAATTCTGGCAGAAACTTTTGAAGACCATTTCCAAAACGTGACAAAAGCCTTTAAGGAATTGACATCTGCAAAATTGAAAGTAAGTTCAAAGAAATGAATCCAGAAGTGAAATATCTAGGCTATGCCATAACACCAGAAGGAATTAAGACCAGTCCTGACAAAGCGAATATCCTACAAAATTGGGTCACACAAAAGGATCGGCAAAAATTTACAATTAGAACTTTGCTCCTAATATCGAAGATTCATACGAGGATTTGCCGACACAGCCCAAGTACTACAGACTTATAGGAGATGGAGTTTCCTCCCAATGTACTGGGAGAGTCCAAATGGAACCGAAAACAAACTCCAAGTAATACTTCCAAAGAAAAGAATTTCAGAAATGATACATAGTATTACATAGTATCTATAAGTTTTTATTTAGGTCACTGGTGCAAGATTGGTAAATCCAAATTGTTTATTTAAAACTGCACACTAACGCCTACTTATCTACTGTGTTAGTATAGTAGGTCAAGTAGCAACCGGTTAAATAGCGGAATCAATAATTATAAGCAAGAAGTGAAGTCNTGACTTAAGCAACCTTACCCTACTTTATAAATATTATTTTTGTACTTTGCGGTCAGGGGCATGTACATAATCTAGCTAAGCTACGAGTACACGTAACCGTTTAAAGCCATTACAGTAGGATTCGTGGAGGTAGTTAAACCAACCATACATAATACAGAAAATTGGAGTAAAATCGATACCTGTTAGAATAGCCTGTTTGAAAGATTTTGAGTAAACGATTCTCAAAGGCACAAAATTGAAAGTATTTGAACCAGTAGCTGAAATTTAGCACAGTGATTGGGAAGAAACTGAACATCCATATCTGCATCTTTGACCGAATTGGTGTAATGGTTCAATAACCACCTCAACAGATCAGACTTAGGTAGGACCAACTTAACATACCATCTCATCAACATCGGAACAATAAGGCTCATCAAATAACCACCTAGAAATGTTCCCAGGACGAAGCAATATAAAACCAACAACTTTATAAAGGACATGCTTAAACAAGGGGTGATCGAACCATCTCAAAGTTCCTGAGCTTCACCTATAGTGCTAATACACAAGAAAGATGATTCCGAGAGGTTCTGTGTGAATTACACGTAGCTGAAAGGTGTACTGCAGAAAGACTGTTAGTCATTACCACGAATCAACAAAACACTAGACAGTCTAGCTGGAGCTAGGGAGAACACTGTTTTTACAATTTGAAATGGTATGTAGCAATTCAATGTGATGCCTTTTGGATTGTGCACATTCGAAAGATTGATGGACACTGTACTATAA